GTTCCTATGATGCTGTTGATGGATGCAAGTGCCTTGTGAACACCTGGGAGGCACCTTACCACTGAGAGACACCCTTATGCTCCAGGAGCTTACTTTATAAACAAGAATGACCCACATGAGACCAAGCTGCCTACCTATGGGTAGGGGGGGCTTAGATCCAGTCCATGGATGCATGCCCTTTGGTTGATGCTTCATTCTCTGCAAGCTCCTATGGGCCCAGGTTAGCTGACTCTATTTGCCAGCCTTTGGATCACTTTCCCCTAGCTGGGCTGCCTTGTCTGGACCCTGTGGAAGAGGATGCACTTAGTCCTGCTATGACTTGATGTGTTGGGGTAAGTTTGTAAGTGAGGGATCCCCTCTTTTGAGGAGAAGGGGAGTGGGGAAAGGAGGAAGAGGGTGGGAGAGTGGGGAAAGGAGGAAGAAGGAAAGGCAACGGAGGAGGGGGATATGATCGGGATGTAAAATGAGTAACTAAATTTAGTGAAATTTTTTAAAATAAAAAAAACAAAGAGGGACATTCGCCATTTATGAAGAGAAAGCTTTAATACCCTTTACACATTAAAAAGTAAAATAATAAGTGACTGTTGTGATAAGAACATCAGTAGCCTTGTATTTATTTCCTTTTACTCTCTTATTTGATCTTTAGATACTTTCCATTATAGTATAGATTATGGAATGGACAGCCAATGCCTCTAAAAGAAAAAATGATTATCATAGATACCACATCTGTGCTCTGATGGCTACCAACTAGAACTGATTATTGAGGTAGGCACTTTTAAACGTCTATCTACCAATTATCTTATAGTCATAACTGTATTTATAGCAATGTCATTTTGCTTCTATTTTACAGGTGTGAAAAGAAACTTAGGAAGAATGTAAAGGTTTGCACATAGCTACAAAGCAAGGCAACACAGGCCTAGACTCATCAGTGTCCACCTGACTTCCAAAACTTGTCCTTACTTTGTGACTTTCGTGGTGTGAGCTTTCCTAGGAAGATGTCATAAGACACATCTACTCCCTGAAGGAACGCAGGGCACAATAAGAACAAAGAACCAACGTGGCAAAACAATGAGTTTCTTGAGGTTACATACAGGTATACTGTTGTCTCGAGGTATTGATAGCACTGAAGAGTCCCCCGTCTGTCAGCCTTCTACTTCTTATACATGGCACCTTCAAGATCATATGCAGCAAGTGGGTGCTGGGGTGAAGACAAGTCCCAGGAAAGGGTATGGTGGCTCTCCCTCTTTTATGAGGGAATTAACAGCCTCCTTAAAAGTGTGTCATAAACCCAGGTGTCCTATGTTCTGTTTACTTTCTTGCCTCTACTCTTGCCCTTGGGTTCCATAGCTGCCACAGCAGCTATGCTTCAAGACCACCTAAGTTTACGCCTCAGCTGGAGGACACAGCTCCACTACAGGAGCTCCAGACAGCTGGCATTTTCTTGCTCTTTTGGCAAAAAGCCTGTCCTTCAAACATATCTTAGCTCCTTCATGTTCACCTCCTTCATTTCGAGACCCTACATCAGCATCAGCCTTTTGTTTTGGCCCATGCAAGGCTAGGTCTCTGTCTATTGATTATGTGACAACATTGATTTATAGCTTGCTGGTTGCATCTTTGATCTACCACATGGAAGCCAACATTTCCCATTTGATGTCTCTGAAACTCTCCATTTATTCCGAACCCTTTATAAAATGGAAGATACTGTACATAGTGAATTCTTCTCTCTCTCTTGTGTTCCCCACCTCCAAAAAGTTGCCCTGCTCTTTTTCTCATCTCTGAATATGAGAGAAACATTTTCTCTACTGATATATGTAGATAGATAGATAGATAGATAGATAGATAGATAGATAGATAGATAGATAGATAGATA